CCCCCCCCCCCCCCATTCCCTCCATTTTTTCTCCTAGGGTGCATGCATGACGGTCTTGGTTGTTTGCCTGCCGTAGCTTAGTCCTCGGAGCATAGCGTTACCACCCTCTCTTACGCTTCCGTTGCCACACCATATACATCGTAGCGCTGCCTCTGTAGAATACCGTTGATTGAAATGGTGCCTGTCATGATTTTGCTCTCGATTGAGTCGACGTGCGCGAGTGTTTGACTTGGCCTCTTCTTCTCGCTCTTGTGTCGTTTCGAACATGACGTGCTTAACTAAACACGCAACAACAGCTCGTGGCGGAGGCCGGGGCTCGCGGCACCGCCTGGGACCTGTTGTGGGACGTCGAGGAGGAGAACGAGTACTACCTCCACGTGGAAAATGACGGATCGACGAAGAAGTACCCTAAGGTTAGCACGGTGGTTTTTGTACAACTGTATCTCTGTGGGTAGAACGATCTCATCCACGACACACAGACCCACAACAACAGGCATGTCTTGTGCCCCTGGGTAAATTAGAATTTTATCGCGCGGAAGAGGGCGATTAGACCCGGGTCGCGTCATCGTTGAGAACCCAAGCTGAGGAGTCTCGTCTCAGCTTCAAGTCGTGGCTTTGTCTTTGCGTCTGCTTCCATGGTGCGGGAAGGAAGGGTAGGCGTGTGATACATCGTTTTGCACTCGACTGTTGTGTTGCTATCCTTAGGCCGTCGTCGAAGGGGAAGAGCAGATAGTTGCACCTTTCTGCCGCGTCTCTTGACGCGCACAGACAGCTACACGATGAGATAGTGACGCCATGCACTTGAGCGGTGGCAACCGCTGTGTGTCCTTCACTTGGGAAGTGTTGGGTTACCGCAGTCGCGTGGATGTTGTGTTCGTGGTTGTCGGACAAACCACCTCAACAACGATGACGACAGCAATAACGACCACAACGACCGACGACCGTCTTACTCAGGATACTGCGGTGTGCCACAACTGCGACGCGATGATTGCCCCGGAGGACCAAATGTGCGCGCAGTGCCACACAAGTCGGAGCGCCAAGGTAAATTGATGAAGAAAACAACGGGGGGGGGAGGGGGGGGGAGACAGTACAAGGCCGAGCTGTTGGAGGCACATAAGTCAAGATATATTATTGATTGTCTATCACGCATGATCCTACACTACCGTCGGAACTGCTGTGCATCCGATAGCTACCGTCCCTCGTCGATAAAATGGGACAGGTCACGCCTGGTT